TACAGTCTTTATGTTTGAATATACACATTTTATGTATATTATGTATGATGTGTTTGTAATGATTGTTATTCTGTATTCCTTTGTAGAACCACAGTAAATCTACAACAAAACCAGACATCTGCTTCCGTGTCTTTTAACGGGGACACATTCCATACACCTTGCCGCTCTAAACCAGTTAACTCCTGGAGAACACCTCATCTCCTTTTCAGGGATGTTCTCATTTTATTATTTATTTTATTATTAATTTATCCTTATTTTGGTCTGTTGAATATGTTAACTTTATTTCCATCATATTTTCCAAATGAAACATCCAGAGAAGTGTCTCTACAGCCTCCTAGAAGGTCTGAATTGTTCAGCTGTTTTATTAACTAATAAAATAATGAATGAAGCTTTTTAATCATTAATCTGTTACCTAATATTCATATATGTTCTAGTTTGCATCGGATTCAATCTGGTTCCTGTATCAGTGCCAGTAATCCAGTAATAAGTTATTCATTCCCACCATTGCTTATTTTACTTGAACTGCAGAGAATAATTAATGAACAAAGTTGCGAATTTCTTAGTTTACAGTAAATTTAAGATGCAATTATTTTAATAAGGCCCGTTCTGCTTTACTTCAATTCTCTAAAATCATCAGAATATAGAAAATAATATAGATTGTGAGGAAAATGTTCCACATAACCACAGATCACGTGTTGTTCAGTAACATTTACTGTTCTCTAAAAATTCCACATTTTGCTGCTTATTTTCATTTGAATCCTCTGCAAACCTCCAACCTATAGCTGCACCTTTCCTCACAGGGTTTCCTGTCTAAACTATTTTAAAATCTCTCCCCAAGGTTTGGTGAAAAGTTTGCAGAGGGAGGAGCCTAGCTGCTTCTTCACCACATTTAGCTGTTTAGCATCAAACTGTGGAGATCAGATAATTTATTCATGTTCTTCCTTCTGTCAGGCTTCCTGTGAACGTCTCTAACTGGACGTTTGCTTTAAACTCTGTTCCTTTCTGGCAAAGTAAAAACCTTCTTCCAGACAAAGATGGCCGTCGGGCTTGTTCTGTTTCACAATATTTTATCCAGAGCTTTTATAATGTCTGAGCCCGGTGACACCGAGGCTTTTCTCGCAGCCTCTGAAAGGACACTTCAGGATAATTGTAATAGGATTGAGCTGCTATCTATAGAAAGGATAGAGAGAGGTCAGAAGTGGTTTTCGCTCAGGACAGAAAGAATCAAGCTGTAGATGACCACAGTGAGACCAGAGGGGTATCGGAGGAAGCAGGATGGGTGCCGCCCTCTATCACCCAAAGCTCAAATATCAAACCCATTCCCATCATTCCTATAGCGCCGATCAGAGCCGGTCATCTCAGGACGCTTTGCAGACACTATTCAGACGTTTCTGTCAAGGAGAACCGGTCCTCTTTGGTTTAACCTGATCTGTGCATCAGTGTCTGTTAA